GGTGGATAGCATTTTTCATCATAAATCCTTTGGAATTGTCTTGGATTATTGTATTGATCAGAACAGCCAAATCATTCACTGTTGATCATCATACAGTATTGTTGTTACTATGTACAATGTTTTCCTGGTTCTGCTCTTTTCACTCAGCATCAGTTCATGTAAGTCTTTCCAGGTTTTTCTGAAACCATCCTGCTTGTCATTTCTTATGTCACAATAGTATTCCATCACAATCCTATAGTACAGCTTGTTCAGCCATTCCCTAATTTATGGGCATTCCCTCAATTTCCAGTTCTTTGCCACCACAAAAATTGCTGCTATTAATATTTTTGTATAAATAGGTCCTTTTCCTTTTTCTTTGGTCTTTTTGGGATACAGACCTAGTACTGGTATTGCTGAATCAAAGAGTATGCATTTTGTTAGAGTCCTTTGGGCATAGTTCCAAATTGCTGTCCAGAATGGTTGGATCAGTTCACAACTTCACTAATGGTGTGTTAGTGTCCCAGTTTTCCCACAACCCCTCCAACATTTGTCCTGTTTCTTTTCTATCATATTAGCCAATCTCATGTGTGTGGGGTGCTACCTCAGTTGTTTTAATTTGCATTTCTCTAATTTCATATGGTTTTTTGATAGTTTGGATTTCTTCCTTTGAAAACCACTTCTTTATGTCTTTTACCATTTATCTGTTGGGAGGAATGACTCTTAGTCTTTTTTTTTGGGGGGGTGAGGCAATTGGGATTAAGTGACTTGCCTAGGGTCACACAGCTAGTATCAAGTGTCTGAGGCTGGATTTGAACTCAGGTCCTTCCGACTCCAGGGCTTGTGCTCTATCCATTGTGCCACCTAGCTGACCAGCTCTTAGTCTTAAACATTTGAATCAGTTTGTTGTATATCTTGGAAATATGACCTTTATCCTAGAAATTTGCTGCAAAGAATTTTTTTCCCCAGTTAATTGTTTCCTAATTTTAACTGCCTTTGTTTTATCCAAAAACTTTAAAATCGTATATAATTAAAATTATCCATTTAATTTTCTGTGGTCCTCTTTATTCCTTCAGTCATGAATTCTTTGATCACAGATGTGAAAGATTATTTCTTCCTTGTTCCTCTAAATTGTTAATGATGTATTCTTTTATATCTCGGTCATGTCTCTGTTTGGAGTTTATGTTGGTCATTTCTATCAGAATGTTTTCCAGATTACCCAACAATACAGCAACAATATTGTTGTATACTGAGTCCATGCCCAAATAGTTGTGGTCTTAGGGTTTATTAAACATTATACTATAGTCTTCATTGGCTTCTGCTTGTTTTGTATCTATTTTTTTCACTGATTGAACTCTATTTTTAACAAGTATGAAATAATTTTGGTGTGTACTGACTTGTAATATAGTTTGAGATCCAATACCTCCTTCCTTTCCACTTTTTTCCTCCGAGATGAATGTATTATTTTTTTCTTGCTTTTTACAAAGTAATCCTTTGGTAGTTATTTTGGAGTATAAGTAACTGTTCTATTTCCTGAACCTGCTCATGAGCACTTAATATATCTTGGATTATTTGGGTCTTTTTTTATTTCTGTAAAGAGTGCCTTCTAGTTGTATTCGTGTAGTTCCTATGTTTGTCTTGGTAGATTTCCTATTGCTAGATATTTCATACATTTTGTAGTTACTTTTTCAATATACAGAAATGATGATGATTTATTTTACCTTATGCAATTTTACTGGTTTTTAATTGTTTCAATTGATTTTTAGTTGACATGTAGTGTTCTGTAATTAAATGATTATATTATCTGCAGAAAGGTGATTATTTTGTCTCTACTTTGCTTATGTGTATTTCCTTAATTTCTTTTTCTTAATGCTGGAGCTATCATTTCTAGCATTATGTCAAATAATGTTGATAATAATGGACATTCTTTCTTTATTACATTCTGATTAGGAAGTCCTCTCATCTTTGTACTTTTGTCTGTATTCTTTTTCTGTAGTGAATGCTTTCCTTTTGCCAATCCATTTCTATTCCATTCTTCAAGTTTTGGCTTAAGGATCACTTTTAGGAAGTCTTCTTCATCAACCTCTTCAGATTCTGATTTTTTTCTCACTCAGTTTCTTCATTTATTCTTACTTTTGCACCCATATATTGTTATTTTTAACTTGTGTTAATACGTTGTGAGGACCAAATGAGATAATATTTGTAAAGTACTTACTCTAGTGCCTTCCACATAGTAAGACACTTAATAAATTCATACTCCCTTCCCTTCGTTTGCACAGATTTGTTTTGAAGAAAACTGCTCAGATGAATCTGTGATTTCATAGATGTGGTTGTTCCCTCCTTTGTGGTTCTTAGCAGTCTATTGATGAGGATGCGTCCTGTGAGTTTTTATTTGTGTCCTCATAAGTTTGAAGGGCTTACTTGCTTTTTCTTGACGTTATAGAGAACAGTGAGGCACAAGAGTTTTCCATCTCTTATCCTTCTGTCTTGACAAATCTTCATTTTTGATTATGCATTTCCTTAATGGCATTTGTTATAAAGCTTCTTTAAAGTTTTTGGGTTGCATTCTGCTCATATCCATCATGTACCTCTCCAGTGCTTTCTTTGATCTCATTTTTGAGGGATGCAACAACTCATTTTTGGATGCATAGATTATCATTGGTAGAACATTGATGTAAAAAGATGGACCTTTTTCTGGGACAGGGGCAGTGGGGGAGGGGAAATATCCTCTGATTAATATCAGGTGAGACATGTAGAAGAAGATATATATGTTCCCCAAAGGTCTTTATAATGGAGATACAGTGCAGAGTATAAATTGGAGAGGGATTCTCTCTGGAAGATGAAGTCCTTCAGATACTCCTCTTTGCAAATGACATGCTGATTGCTTCAAGGGCCAAAACATTACACAGCTTCTTAGAGATGGTTAACCACTCAAATGAGTTTGGCTAATCCTATACGTTGAAGAAAAACTTGAAAACAAAACATGTGGATGAAAAATTCCTGGATTAGGAGTTTGTGGCTTAGAGTTCAGAGTTCCGTGGATAGATTTCAGGGGCTTTTTGAATTTAGATGGGAAAAATACATCTCTATTTTTACTCACCTCTAAAAATTTTCATTTCCCTTAGTTATGAATTAAAAAAAACATTCTGAGAAAGGGTTTGTCTTTAGGCTTCATTAGTCTATCACAGGGGTACATGACACAAAAAAAGTTAGATGCTTGACTTAGATGGACAACCTGTAGAGCTCACTGTATATAGACTTAGTCATTACAAATGGACAGTTAGTACACAGAATTAAAAAGGAAGACAATGGGCTGGATTCCCTTAAGAAAATTGCAAAGAATCCTTAAAAATGTAGACATAATAAATTCACTCTGTGAAATACTTTATTGTATATGGGTTCATTTAAATAGTGAACTTCTCTAGTGCACTTAAAATGTTAGTTTAGAAAAATTAAATGTATATAACTTTTTTAGGAATACATCCTTTGTATGAAGTGATTTTGCCATGTTCCCAATATGCTTAATGGGAAGTGTTTTGTCAGCTCAGTCAATATCCTGTTTTTCTAATTCTTAGGTATCTGGAACAATACATAAAATTATGCTGTGAATTCAATAGTTGAAGGACTGCTGAATTACCTTCTCTCATCTTGGCTATATATGAGTTTTAAATAATGTACATGAAATTTATATCCTAACAAGTTACATCGCATGAAAATTCTATGTATTAGCATGTTCCTGTAATTTATGTTGCTCTCTGCAGAGGTAAGGATGCTAGTTACCCTTTGTTCTGAGCTGGGCCTGACTTAAGCCATGAGAATAGGTTTAATATTGGAAGAAAATGAGATACTCCTAAAGCATTAACAGTTAGCAAAGGAGATTTAATTAGCCATAGCAGGAGAAGGATATTTAATAAGGAGAAGCATTGGGGACACTTTGAGTTGCTTCAGCTAAGTGAAACTCTTCACTTGTGTTACCTGTCATGAAGTACCAGTCAGACTTCCAAAACACCCCTTTCCCATCCTCTTCCAGACTCTCCTTCCTTACCTTCTCATACCTCTTTGGTGCTCAGGCAATGGGGAAGTCAATCAGTTGTCTTGGGACTTAAAACTCTGAGCCAACCAAGTCTGAAGGAATATCTTTTTAAGGAAAAACTATCCTAACCTGCATGTAGGAGGGGGCTATCCTACCATACCACTGAAATATTAACTCTCGTAAATAGAGTATAGACCTGTTTTCAAGATCCTATATATTTTGAAGGAATATAATTATTCAGTTGAATGTAGAAAGAAGCATCATTCTAGTCCATCAGCAACAAATCTTACATAATAAAGTTAAATCAGTGAACTATGTGGAAATAGGAAAATGAACCACAGTGAGAAGTGATGTGCTTTTAAATAGTGATAAGTAGTGCTGTTGTCTGTATCCTGTATGAAGAAAGTTTATAAAGAACATTTAAGTTATATTTTGTGCCCATAAGAAACTTCTATGGAAACTTGACATTAATGAGGACAAGCTTGAACAAATACTAACAAATGTACAACTGAGGTAATACGAATCTATTTCAAATTCATTGCATTATTCTTTTATTCCTCTAATTTCTCATTAGTGTCACTCATCCATTCTTTTTGTTACATACTTCAAGTCCACTTTAAATGTTTAGTCTCTTTTGATTTCATCCTGTGTCTTTTCTGGAATACTCATCTTTTACTAGTTACCGTAGCCCACAATGGTTTTTCTTTCCTTTGTAGACCTATAAAACTGTATTATAATTGCTTTTGTGCATTGTGCCTTAACCTTCTAACTGGATTGTAATCTGCAGAAAAAAATTCTTGGGTATAATGTTTGTATAAAAAGAATAATATTTCTCTGTTGATGAAAGAGCAGCATCTTTCTTGTATGTATTGTATACTTACATGTTTGTTGAATGAAATGTAGATGGAAAATTTTTTATAAAAGGGTTATTAACTAAGATTTCATAGATTAAGTTCAATTATAATACACTTTTCTTTTTCTTTTTTGTTAGCTTGCTTTCACAAGAGATGGACTCTGTGGCCTCTGGAATGAAATGGTCAAAGATGGAGAAATTGTATACCCTGGGACAGAACTAACACAGAATGGAGAACTACCTCCTCGCAAAGGTATTTCTTGTACTTTCTAGTTTGCACAGCCTTTTTTGGTGTATACATTGTATGTTCCTAAAATTATGTAGGATGTACTGAAATAAACCTAGAGCAGTTAGATTTTTCATTTGTTGGTGATGTGTTGAATACAAATACCAAGTGTGAAACAATAATTAGTATAATAAATACAAGGATTTCCTGGGAAATGTTAATATTTTCCCTTTGAAAAATCATTTTCTTGCTTTTTTGGATCCTTTTCATAATGTCTTCCATCACAGATTGTGTTTAAGATAATTTTTTCATCTCAAAAATGTTTAAATATCTATTTCTTGGTTTGTCCTAAAACTATTCATGGCTTTTAATTTTGCTTGTATAGAAATAATAATTGGTATCCCAACAATTAGTAAGTAATTTTCTGTGTTGCTGTCTGTGGAGTAGGAATAGGAACTATCTCTGACATGTAGATTGGATCTGCCCTTTGGTTTAATTTTATCAGGCCTTTAGGCCAGTACCAAGACATGATTTCAGTTATTCTTGTAGTTGAGATAATCTTAGAGGCTTTAAAGTGTAGATGTAGGATCTTAAGAGCTGGAAGGGATTTCATCTGACTTTCTCATTTTATAGATGAAGAAAATGAGGGCTAGAGAGCTTGTTATTTTCTAAGGTCATTATCTTCAACATTCTAAAAGTGAACAAGATAGAGATGTTCTTGTCTTCTGAAAGTAGATCATTCTTTTTGTGAGTTGAGGTACAACTTGCTATCTAGAATGGCAGGTTAGGGTTATTCACTTTTGAGAATGAGAAGATTTCAAGGATGTTACTATTTCTAAATTTTCAATATGAATTAAAATGCCTTTAGAAACAAATTCTAGCAAGATCTAATTAGATTAAAAATGTAATTTTCCTTAAAAGCAGTATTGGTAGATCTTTATCAGAGTTTCGTCAAATACAGAGATTGTAACCCCTTCCTCCAATTTTTTCTTATCCTTTCTCACTTGATAAAAAAGAACTAAATTATTTGTTGTATTTATTGAATAGCATTTTATATTTATTTTTCTTTAGTTTTAAAAAGCCTTAAATATAATTAAATTAAGTTGCTTTTTATTTATATGGTCCTTGATTACATGACATTTTTCCCCCCTATGTCTTTGGCTCTTAATAGAAAAACTTTCAGAGACTTGGTGTGGTATGGTATGTGTGTATAGCCTGTCTTTTTTACTACTCTCTCCCTCTCCACCAAACAAAAACAAAAACAAACTAAAAATTTTAACTTATGTTTTCATGTAGATTATAATTTGAAATTCTAATACTGTATTTTTATAGTGGTGATAGAATTGTTAATAGTAAGTCAAATAAAAGTAATTAGGCATTACCACTAGAGTTTCTGGAAAATACCCAGTGTGTATTTTTTTCCCCAGGGGCACAATTAGTAATGTTTCTTACATGGATCTCCACTCTTGAGTCTTTGTTGTTTCTAAGCATGTCTTCCACTAACTCCTTCAGAAATTTTTGTTAAGTTTGAAAATCTTTCCTGAGATATATGAGCATTTATTCTATTTTCACCTTCCCCGGAGATAAATTTGTCATTTTCTTTCCTTTGAAATCACACGTGGGATATACTAGACTAGTTTAGGGAACTGATGGGATAATATACAACTACTTCATTTGTAGTAACTAAATGCAGTTTGTTTTGTGGTCACACAACACAATGAAAATAACATTAAACCACAGTCTATAATTTTCAGTCAATAAACATTTATTAAACATCTGTTATGTGCCAGGCACTATGCTAAGCACTAGGGATACAAAGAAAGGCAAAAAAGAGTCCCTGCCTTCACAATCTAATGAGGGACACATAAACAGATATGTACAAATAAGCTCTATACTGGATAAATAGGAAATAATTAACAAAAGGAAGGCACTAGAATTAAGAGAGATTGGGAAAAACTTCCTGTAGAGAGTAAGATTTTAGCTGGCACTTGAAGCCAGGGGTTGGAGATGAGGAGGGAGAGCATTCTAAGCATGGGATACAGCCAGCGAAAATTCCCAGAGCTGAGAAATGTATCTTTTTTGTGGAACGGTCAGAAGGCCTGTGTCACTGGAGGGGAGTGGTGTAAGGTGTAAGAAGACTGGAAAGGTGGAGGGAGGGACTAAGTTATGAAGGGCTTTTAACAGTGAACAGAGGCTTTTGTATTGGATATGGGAGGTGGTAGGGAACAGCTCGAGCTTATTGATGGAGGGAGTAGGGGGAGTGACATGGTCTGAGGATTGGTACTTTAGGAAAATCACTTTGGTGGTGAAATGGAGAATGGGCTGGAGTGGTGGGGAAGAGACATGTGGCAGGCAGACCAACTGGCAGGCTATTGTAATAGGCTAGGTGTGAGGTGAGGAGGGCTTGCATCAGGATAGTAGCAGTATCAGCAGAGAAAATGGGGCATATTAAAGAGGTGTTGCAAAGGTGAAATCAACAATCCTTGGAAACATTGGATTGGATGGGGGGTGTGGGGATGAGGGGGAGGGTGAGAGATAGTGAGGAGTAGAGGATAACATCCAGGTTGTGAACCTGGGGGACTGGGAGGATGGTGGTTTCCTTGATTGTAATTAGGAAGTGGGGGGACTTAGGGGGAAAATGATGAGTTCAGTTTTGGACGTGTAGAGTTTAAGATGCCTATTGGACATCTAATTTGAGATATTTAAAAGGGAATTGGAGATGTGAGATTGGAGGGGTTAAGGCAGAGAGGTTATGACAGGATAGGGTAAATTTGAGAATCATCAACATAGAGATGGTATCAATCCGTGGGAGTGGATGAGATCATCAAGTGAAGTACTATAGGTGGAGAAGAGAAGAAGGCTAAGACTGAACCCTTTGGGACACCTAGGTTTAGAGGGTGTGATCTGGGTAAGGATCCGGTCAAGAGTGGTCAGATAGATGGGAGGAGAACCAGGAGAGTATGGTGTCCTGAAAACCTAAGGAAGAGAGAATATCAAGAAGAGGGTAATTAACAGTGTCAGAGGTTGCAGAGAGGTCAAGAAGGATGAATATTGAAAAAAGGCCATTGTATTTGGCAATTAAGAGATCATTGGTAATTTTGGAAGGAGCAGTTTTGGTTGAATGATGAAGTCAGAAGCCAGATCATAGGGAGTTGAGAGAGCGGGAGGAGAGTAAGTGGAGGCACTTACTGTAGATTGTTTTGTTAAGGTGTTTAGTCACAAAAGGCAGAGGAGATAAAGGATGATAGCAGGAATGGAAAGATCAAGTGAGGGTTTTTTGAGGAGGGGGGGACTCATGAGCATGTTAGAGAAAGATAAGTGAGAGAATGAGAATGATAGAGGGGATAGTAGGCTGGAGAAGGTGGAATGGAATGGGATCCCTTGTACATATAGAGGGATTTGCCTTAGCAAGAGGGCCACCCCTTTTTCTGAGACTGGGGTAAAGGAGGAAACAGTGTCAAAAAGTATCTCAGTAGTAGAAGGTGGGGAGGAGTGAAGAAGACGAAGCTCCAGGTGAATGGGCTCAATTTATGAGGTAAGGTTCTCAGCTGAGGGAGTGGGAGGTGGCAGAGCCATAGGAAGTTTGAGGAGCGATGAAAATGTTTGAAAGGACTGCCATGGAGAGTAGGATAGTGAGTTGATAAAGGAAGGATAGAAGAGTAGCCTAGCAACAGTGAGGGCCCAGTTGAGGTTGTGTAACATAATAAATCTGGAGTGGACCCTGTTAGAAAAGTTGCATGATTTTCTCCACCTTTGTTCAGCAAGCATATTTGTAGGAGTGAAAGCAGAGGATAGTGGGAGTGATCCAGAGCTGAAATTTGGAAGATACAATCGATATGACAAAGAGGTTCAGGGACTGGAGAAGACGACAGTGTATAGTTGAACTGATTCAACTTGAACTTGAGGTCAAGATGGGGAAAGGAGAGAAAGTGGCTGGTGCAGAGGTGATAGCCTGGGAGAGAACTGAGGAGAACCAGGAGAAAATGTTGTCCTGAAAATCTAGAGTGAAGAGGGTATCAAGGAGAAGAGGGTGATTGACAGTATCAAATGCTATAGAGGGGTCAATAAGGAAGAGTATTGAGAAAAAAGACTATTAGCTCTGGCAATTAGAAGATCTTTGGTAACTTTGGACAGAGCAGTTTCCAGAAGCCAGATTGTAGGGAGTTAAGAGAGTGAGAAGAGAGAAAATAGAGTCAAGGGATTAGAGGTCATGATGTTTATGAAGAGTAGAGTTTGGTCTGGGAAGGCAAGAGAGAGGTGAAAAACCAATAGGATGTGATCAGATAAGGGAATTTCAGACTTTCTGAACGTGGAGTAGGTGATGGCATTATCAAGGGGTATGACGATCTTTGTGTGTAACTGAGGTAAGGTGGAGGAGTAGATCAAGGAAAGTGAGTGGTTGAGAAACTGGAAGGTTAGGGTGTTTGAGTATGACAGAATGTATGTTGAAGTCCCTTAGTGTGAAGGCATGAGTTGGGGAGGAGAGAAAGATTGTGAGCTAGGTACTGATCTTTTTGAGCAAGGGTAGGGAGTGTCCTGGAGGCTGGTAGACTGCAGCTACCAGGATGTTGAATGGGTGGAAGATGTGGATTACATGGACTTCAGAGAAGGAGAGTTTACTGAGTGATAGATGTAGGGAGAGAACATGGGATTGGCAATGGGGAGCAATGAGTATTGCAGTTCCTACACCTCAAGCTGAGGAGAAGGAATGAAGGTGTAGCCAGTACTGGAAAGAATGGCTGGTGAAGCTGTGTCATTAGGGGGAGCCAGGTCTCAGTGATTATCAGAACATGGAAGGAGTGGGATATGACAAGATTTAAGATGAAAGTAAATTTGTTGCCGATGGAGCAGGCATTCTGGAGGGCACAGAGGAAGGGATGGGTAATTTGGTTGGGACTTTGGGTTTGGTGGGTTGAGGAGGATAGGAATAAAGACTCAGATAGCAGTGGATAGGGAATAGGGTTTGGGCGATGGACCTGTAAAGATTCAGATGTGTCACATATGACCAGGTATGAGTATGTGAATCA